TGTCTCTTCTTTCTGCATCGAGTCTCTTCTGTCCTAGGTGCTAGCACTCTGTGGATGAAGGATAGGCTTGGATGACGAAACCCTGAGCTGACCTTATAGGGCTGATACTGTGGTTGATCCAACTTTCCAGGGGGGCCTAACCCTCCCAGGACCGATGCTGACCGGCTGGAAACGGTTGGTAGGACTCAGTGGGTCTAAACGGCGGCCAGGGCTGACACCAAGCAGTCTTTAAGTGTTCAGGGCCTGTTTGAACCACCCCCCTACCGGACCAAGTAAGGCTGATGATCTGTGTCTGACGACTCGACTATCCCGGGGGACACGAACCCCTCCAAGGACCGGTACAGACCGGCGGGCTGCTCGGTGTGGCACAGTAGGCCGGAAAGGCTGAGTTGTGGGTTGAAAGCACAGGCAGGAACCAAGCTGATCACGTCGTCCTGTCTGCGACGTTAAAGAATTCTTGCGGAGTTTGGGGGATCTCCTTAAATGCCTCCAGATCAGCTGTTGGTTCAGTAGTGACAGCCTCAGAGTAGGTCTAGGCTAGTGACCATAGTTGACAGGGTTTCACCCTGTGGTCCTTAAAAAGTCAGTCAGTCAGCGGGTCAGTGTCCGGGTAGGTCTACGTGGTGAGGAGTAGGACTTTTGTCGTGCACCTGACACCACCATGGATGACTATCCGATGTATGGGTTACCTTTGGCGCCTCCTTTTTCCTCTGGGCTTCTGGCCCACTTTCACGTGTAGAGTAGGAACCCAGGGTGGCACTTCCAACCAACCTTACACGAAGGAGGAGGAGGAGAAGATGGCCGCCATCCTGCAGGAGAGAAAGGAGAAGAAGGAGGCCAAGAAGAAGGCGCTGCAGGAGGAGCAGGCGGCAAAGTTGAAGAAGATAGAGGAGGAGATGGCTAGAGAAAAAGAGAGGTTGAAGAAGGAAGAAGAGGAGAGGTTGAAAGAGATGGAAGAGGAAGAAGAAGATGAAACGCCACTGCAAAGGAGGAAGGGGCAGCACAGTGGCCGCAAGGATGAAGAGATGGAGAAAGGGATTTCGGAGTGGGTTGCCAACTTATCCCTGGGCGAAGAAGAAGAGGTAACTATGTACATCCCCAAGGATGAGCAAGAAGCCGCTATGAAGAAATGGGAAGAAGAAGAAGATGTTCTGAAGCGGCAGGCGATGCAAGATGAAACGAGGATGGTGTGGAAACTCGCAATGATGAGGGAGAAAAAAAGAAGAGTGGAGACATCAAGTGCAGCAATGCAGGAATTGGCGGAGGTACGGACTTTAACTACTCAGTTGACCACCCAGGTAGACCTCCAACAAAAGGTACAGATCATCGCCCAGAGCGTCAAGCGTTTAGCCAGAGTGCAAGAACAACAATATGAGTTTAGCCGAAGCCAGGATATAGTTGTGCGTTCCATGCGGATGGGGTTCCGAGACTTTGCTCGCGAATTGGTAGTTGTAGGAGCCGAGGTGAATCATCGCCTTGCGTCGGCACCATTGAGGGCGTCAAGGTGGCAGCTCCCAAGGAGGAAGAGCCGCGTCCTGGTAGGGAGCCGGTCAAAGTCAAATTCCTTGATTCCTAAAGTGGGAAAAGGGAAGAAAACTTTGAAGACTGGGAGGCCAACGTCAAGACCTACGTGCACCTACAATAGGTCTCCCCAGATCAGCACGTGTTAATTGCCATTCATGCACTTAGAGATGAGGCCTTCAGTTTCGCAAGGTCCCTAGTCCGCGCTGCCAACTGCAACAATGATGCAGTGGCCTACTCATCGTTCACCCCCCTCGTTGATTTCATGAAATTGCTGCGCGAGCAATTTGCTGATGTCGCTCGCAGTGTCAAGGCCTCAGATAAGCTCCAGACCATCCACGCTCGTAAATGGAAGAGTGCCACGGCACTCAAGGGTACGATGGATGAATTGGTGGTTGTCCCTGACCATGGGGTCACTGAGGCCCAATTGGTCGGCCTCTTCTATCGGGCTATGCCCGAAGCCTTTCGAGGGCAGTTCTTCGCGAAGAGCGAAGACCCTGCCACCACTTATGATTCCCTTAGCCGTGAAGTGGTGGCTTTCGAGGCGAAGTCGGTGTCACTTTCTACCTTCTGGCACAAAGACCTCGACAAAGGGAAACAATGGAAAGGCCACACTATCTCCGGGCAAGTAAAGACCAAGGATAGCCTTGTCCTTACCTGAGATGAAGGTAGTGTGGACGAGATCCCCTACGAGCAGATTGAGTGGGGGTTAGAGGAGGAGGACAGCGGCGTGAGCCAAGAAAGGACTAACGTTGCTGTCGCGACTGGAGGGAGGCCGCAAGGAGGAGGACGAGGCCAGGGCCAAGGGGGCCGGGCCTCAGGGAGCCGGTTTCAGGGCGATCAGGGGGTTGGTGGCAGAGGAGGAAACTGCCAAGTGGGAGGAAGGGGTCAAGGTCCCCCGCAAAACCGTCCTAGGAATAGGTCTCCCTATAGGGTAGGTGGATGGCACCCAGGGCTACCTCAGGGTAGGCCTTGGGAAAGTCTGGGTCTGGACTAGAGCTTATGGCAACAGCGTCTGGACCGGGGCCAGTGCATTTTTTGTTGTGACCCGGGCCATATCATTAAATACTATCCTAAGTATAGAGAGACCCGGACGACTGCTCAAGGGCCAAAAGGCAGCCGCCGGTAGGGGTAGCAACTGCCCCTACCATTAGGCCATGTGGGGAACATAGCGCTAGCCGGCAAGAGACTCCCACACCACATGTGCCTATGGCAGAGGTTGCAGGCCGGTGTCTAGATCGTTGCCCAGAGACTGCTTGTGTTAGAGTCTCTCTAGACACCTCCCTCACAGGCGTGGCTGATGAATTGAAGGAGAGGATGCCTGCTTGGGCCAAGATGAAGAAGGAGAATAAAGGGCAGCTTATATTACTAGACACAGAGATTTTTAGAGGTAGAGTAGGGGCCCTAGTATACTCAGGGGCCACCCGCAGCTATATTAGTAGAAAAGCGCTGCAGAAGTTGAAGCTCCAGAAACTAACAGACCCCATACTTAGTATCCTCGCTGACAACCGTACAATGGTCGTAGAGGATTATGTAGAGGGAGTCCAGGCGTATTTCCGCCTAGAGAAAGATGGGAAAGTGAAGAAGGTCCTCCACTCCCTTACTCTCCCCGTAGAAGACAGCCTCCCATTCGATATTGTCCTAGGAATGGATTGGGGAGAGGCAGCCGGGGCCACACTCCATTTGAAAGAGCACGAGTGTAAGCTCCCTAGTCCTTCAGCCGAGGCTAAGACTGGTCGCCTGTTCCATGTGTCAGGAGTACAGAATCCCTTGGCACACTGCTGCCTTAGTGCACTTGCATTCGCGAGACTCATGAAGAAGGAGCACCAAGAAGAACAGGTCTTTGTAGCCTATGTTAGGCCAGTGACTGAGCCCAAGGAAGAGAAGCCTACAGACCTTGCTATTGCCAAACTGCTGGAGGAGTTTAAAGATCTAGCTGAGCTGCCGAGAGGAGTAGTACCGCGGCCCATCCAGCATCGCATTGAGATAGAGCCTGGCAGTACAACTCCTAAGGGTGCGGTGTACAGGATGTCCCCGCGGGAGTTAGAGGAGCTTCGCAAGCAACTAACGAGCTCCTTGAGAAGGGTTGGATTAGGCCCAGTTCATCTCCATTTGGAGCGCCTGTTCTCTTTGTCCCCAAGAAAAAGGGAGAGTTGAGGATGTGTATAGACTATAGGGGTCTGAATGCGGTTACAGTGAAGAATGTTGAGCCACTGCCTAGGATAGATGATCTTTTAGATCGAGTGCAGGGGGCGAAGTCGAGATAGATTTGAAGTCCAGATATCATCAGATAGAGGTGCATCCTGATGATCAGTATAAGACAGCCTTCCGGACTAGATATGGGCACTATGAGTTTATAGTGATGCCCTTTGGACTAACCAATGTGCCAGCGACGTTCCAGCGCTGTATGAACGATCTGTTTAGGCCATGGTAAGATAGATTTGTTGTTGTCTATTTAGATGATATCTTAGTGTTTAGCAAGACCCTCCAGGAACATCAGAGTCATCTCAGACAGGGCTTGGAGAAGCTGAGAGAAGCTAACTTCAAGATCAACGCAAAGAAGTGCGATTGGGTGAAGACCCAAGTCTTATATCTAGGCCACATCTTAGACGGAGACGGCGTCAAGCCAGAAGATTGCAAAATTGCAGCGATTAGAGATTGGCCCACACCGCGCACGCTGACAGAGTTGCGATCGTTTTTGGGCTTAGCTAACTACTATAGGAAGCTCGTGAGGAAGAACTCCACTGTCGCTGGGCCCCTTCGCAGATTGTTGAGGAAGGAAACCATCTAGAAGTGGGATAAGGACTGCACATCTGTTATGAAGAAGCTGAAGCAAGCACTAATAGGATATCCAGTCCTTAAGGTAGTCGGTCCGTCCTTGCCCTTTACCGTCACTACGGATGCTAGCCAGTACGACATAGGTGTGGTGTTGCAGCACGACGATGGCAACGGTTATAGACCCGTAGAGTTCATGTCCGCTAGGATGCCTTCAGATAAGGTTGCGACATCTACATATGAGAGGGCACCCTACGCTCTCAGGCAAGCATTAGAACACTGGAAGCATTACTTGCTTGGGAGGCACTTCAAAGTCTATTCTGAACACGAGACATTGCGATGGTTAAAGACGCGGGCCAAGATGACACCTAAGCTTACTAGGTGGGCCGCAGAAATGACCAGTATGACTTTGAGCTCAAGCCAGTCAAAGGGAAGTATAACGTAGTTGCGGATGCTCTGAGTAGAAGAGTTGATTACTTTGGGGCCATAGTCCATTATCTAGATATAGGGTCAAATCTACAACAGAAAGTTAAAGAGGCGTACGCGCAGGACCCCATCTATAGTGAGTTCCTTAAGAGAGTCAAGGAAGCCCCAGAGTCCGAACCATATTACTGCACTACTGACGGGTTGTTGCTTGAGAAGACTAACGTAGTCGACCGTTTGTGCATCCCCAACAATGAAGAGATCCGAAGTCTGATCTTAGGGGAATGTCACGACACCGAAGGACACTTTGGTTGGCAGAAGACTTTAGCCAACCTGATGCACGCGTACACCTGGCCAGGAATGAAAAATGATTGCATAGAGTATGTTCGCAGTTGCAAAGTCTGCCAGAGGAATAAGTCAACTACGCGTGCCCCTTTAGGTCTTCTCAGACCTTTACCTGTCCCTGACCAGCCGGGAGATTCAGTGTCCATTGACTTCATGGACACCGGCGTTAAGAGTAGGCATGGCAAAAGCCAAGTTATGGTCGTGGTAGACAAATTTAGTAAGTATGCTATTTTTGTTCCCTTGCCGTCAGAGGCCAGAACAGAATTAGTAATTCAGAAGTTCTTTGATCATTGGGTCAGTGAACACGGGGTTCCGCTGTCTATAGTTAGCGATAGAGATACCCGGTTCACAAGTCTGAACTGGTAGGAGTTGATGCGAGTCTACGGATCCAAGTTGTTGATGTCATCAAGCCGTCATCCAGAGACAAACGGTCAGACTCAACAGATGAACAAGATCCTGCAGCAAGTCCTGCGCATGTACATTAGGCCTGATCAAGTCCATTGGGATGAGATGCTTCCCAAGGTAGCCAGCGCATACAACAACATCCTGCACCTGTCAACCTGTCGCACTCCCAATGAGCTCCATAAGTCCTTTAGACCACGAAGACCATTTGAGGGACTTAACCGAGACCAGATTCACAGGTTACCGCCCGGTACAAGGAAGTTTGCGATTCAGCACGAGAAAGAGATAGCAACTGTTGTTGAGAATCTCAGGAAGGCCCAGCACCGCATGATCGAACAGGCGAACAAGCACCGTCGCCCTTCACAGTTCCAAGTAGGCAACTTGGTCTGGGTCCAGTCTAAAGAGTTTGCGCCTGAAGAGAACATTTCGCAGAAGTTACTGCCTACATATAGGGGGCCGTGGCCGGTTCTCGAAGTCAAAGGCGGCGAAGATAGACCGTCCTATACCATAGAACTCCCAGCACACCTCCACACTTACCCAGTTTTCCATGCATCGAAGTTGTTACCTTGTCAAACAAGTGATCAGTTTCCATCCCGTAGGTCTATGATTCCACCAGATATGGATGGAAGGTATGACATCAATGGCATAGTAGCTGAAGATGTATTCAGGACTGGAGGTAGAGGTCGTCCACAGAAACAGTACAAGGTTCATTTTAGTTATCAAGAGCCGGAAGACGACCGCTGGTTTACAAGATCTGAACTTCTAGAGACAACTCCCGATATAGTCCGGGCCTACGAAAGGCAACAGAAAGGTAAAGGTCCTGCCTTGGACCGAAATTTTCTCGGAGGACCTCGAATTTAGGCCGGCAGGAGTGAAACGGTATTCACCACTTCACAGTAGCTGATGCAGATTCCAGGGCTCGATCCCTAGTTCCCCACCTTAGTTCACCTTACCTGTGTACAGTAACTGTGTCAACCCGTAGATTTGAACCTGCGACCTGTAGGACCGCCAGTGGTAGGTAGGACCTCGTAGGTTACAAGGTATAGAGGATTCGAACTGTACGTCTGTCGGGTAGGAGTCTAGGCAGTCTAGAGGTCTTAGCTGTAGACTGTCCGAAGGGTCAAAGTCGTAGCTGCTACTTACCTGAAAGGGCAGAGTCGTAGCTGCTACAGTACCGAAAGGCCAAAGTAGAGTGTTCTAGAAGTGGCCTTTCGGAGTCAGCCATGTTTTGGCAGAGGCAAGTGGTCAAGTGGTGTAGGTCCACCACGCTTAGT